TTATGCCGATTCCACCTTCCAGTCTTCCCTCGCTTATCCGCCACAAATTACTCAATAGCGCATTAAATACCTACTTTATTCTTACGCGATGAATAATTCTTCCATTGCTTCAAACGAGCATGGAACATTGTAATGTAAATTTTCATTAGTACTGCTTTCAATGCCGATTTGATTTAGAAGTACAAAACGGGAATTGATTTCTCAATTTGTAAGTATTTGTAAAGATCAAGTTCAATAAAATTTGATTTTGACAATAGAATTTGATTTGAACATCTTATTAAATGCAATATTAATTTTAGATCATCTTACAATTCAAAATATGCATGAATTAAATGTACTTTAATAAAATTCTTTTATTAATAATATTGACGTATAAACATTATTGTAAGATGATCTAAAATTAATATTGCATTTAATAAGATGTTATAGAGAGCTACGGCGTTTTAAAGCAGATCATTCCCCAGAATGCAGATTCGCAACGTTCGGCGAGCTTAAAACGCCCGAAGGTATCCGAAACGATCAAAAAGTTATCGATCACGTAACCTTCCACGCTGACCGCCGTCTACCTGTTTCGGACACGTCAAAGCACGGACATGGAGCCGGCTGTCTTCTCGTTTGTTTCAAATTCTCGTCACTCATTTTTCATACGTTTACACTGCCGACGCCGCCGCCGTCGCCGTCGCGCCGCCGCAGGTTCCTCTCGATACTAAAAGAACGAGAGAAAGAGAGAGAGAGAGAGAGAGAGAAGAGGGAGGAGTGAATGGGGAAAGGTGGAGAAGAGGGAAGAGAGGAAGAAGTTGAGAACGGAACGAAGAGGGGTAATCGTTCTCTCCTCCACGTTGTTCGAAATAGTGGTTCTTTCCGCCCTTTGTTCTTCCTCGCAAGTTTTCTTCCTTCAGGCGCGGGGGGAAACAAAAGACAAATTACAGAGACGCCCGTCATGTGACCCTTCCCACCTGTCTATAAACGACCTGGTCCAGTCCAGAGAAAACGAGAGCACACCGAAGGCGGACATAGGAAATCCGTGATCCGGACGACTTGGTCGCATGTATAAACTACTTCTCGATTGAAGATCAACTTTTTTCTCTCGTCTTTGATGTTCGTATTCCGCTTCCATTTCTTTATTAATCGTTCAATGAAAACGTTACGAATTAATTGTAAGTGCAATAAAATATGTAATGCAAAAATTAAGAAAGAAGCGGAGGGCATGAGAATTTCATCAGCTGTTCGCAAACATACGTATAGTAAAGGTGAAAGAATGAAAGAGGCACGAGCGAGTAGAGAGCGAAATTGAACAATGGCTTGCGTGTGGATCTCTTTCATTCTTATTTTCCATAGTTTGTATGGTCAAAAATTTTCCCGAATAAAATTTTTCTACAAGTCTAAGCTCGCATCATGAGATAAACAACATCAATAGCTTTATTACTACTTCGTCAATCTTTTAAACATAAATGTAACAAAGAAGCGTTGAGCAAAAATATTATCCTAGAGCTTATATACAGGATGTATCTTAAATAGCGTTTATTAATTGTATAGCGTTATTCTTTGTAAAAAAAATCTGAGTCAAAAAGATCTGAACCATTTTTTTCTACAATGCACAGTAAAGTGCAATGCAATTACTACTACAATAATTACAGCTTTATTGAGATTGTAGAAAAAAATGATTCAGAGCTCTTCGACTTAGTTTTTTTACAAAGAATCGCGTTATGTAATTAATGGGCGCTAATTAAGATACATCCTGCATCTTAATATAATTTAACTCTTGACGTAAAAGTAATATTATAGAAAATGATCATAATTGAAATTTAATTAAAACCGCAAATAAAATCTGATCTTGAAAAAATTTGATATATTGAATTAGAAATTGAGTACGGAGGACATAAAAAGTAAAATAATAGAGAATTTTGATAAAAATACTATTATTTCACAAAAATACTATAATTTCTCTTTCTCTTCTTGCCTCTCCTGCCCTTTCTCCTCTTTATTCTCGTATTTTTTAATGTTTTGTTTTACATAATCTGTTACAGATTATTCATGACAATCATTACTCTCATACAAATAAAACATTTCGTAAATTTAAACTTTATAAGCTTGCAACCATAAAGCTTGCAATGAAATTAACATATGTTTTTAAAAAAGTGATGGAAAAACATGGCATAACTTGCGAAGTTATGTTTCATCAAACGACTTACATTTTAAAGTGTAAACTCATACTGACGTTCTCATGCTGATGAGAACGCGCGAAGCGACGGTTGTCAGTTTTGTCACGGACATCTGCTCCATCGACGAATGACGAACTATTACATTATAATAAATCTGTTATTTTAATATAATTTTGCAAATTTTTGCTTCGATTTTTTCATTATTCATCTTTTAAAGCAGAATTGTATTGCATACATTATAAAAATTATAAAATAAAATTGTGACTAAATTGAAAAGTAATTTATTAATTAGTAATTATTAATTACAATTGTTTTTTAATATTTAATAATTACAAATATTTTGTAGTATTCTATTTAATTTTTATCCTACACTAATTTTTTTATCTGTATTATTAGAAAAAACATAGGATTTAACTATAAAATAATTAAAAACATTTTCAAATGTTAATATAATAAAATCTGCATTAACAACGTTTTTAATAAAAGTATTAACATTTATTTACATAAATGTTATTTTGATATTGAAGAATAGGTATGTTTTTTAACGGAATTTGAATATTAAAAGCTACAATAATTCTTTTGTAAAATATTTCTGGTAGCAGTTTCAACCGGATGAACCCATAGACGAAACTAACAGCGTGATATACGAAAATACGGATTCTATTTTCGTGCTCTATCGTTCTCACCTCACACACGATCCTGTCAGGTCGCGCTCTTCATTTTGACTACGCCTTGACAGTTCGTCATCCTCTACATCATCTTGCAAGAACAAGAAGCTTGCTAGCAATGTCGACATTTTCGTCCGGAAAAAGTCCCTTATCGTTACAAAGCAGTAACGCCTGTCACTAATTTGAATGTGACATGGTACCGTTATTTTACTCACAAATATACTATCAACAATGTTTGATTATTATCAACAAAATATCTAATACTCTATCCATTAAAAATACTAATAATCTAAAGATTTATTTGTGTTTATTAATATCTAAAAAAAGATGCGAATAATTTTTTGTAGCAATTTAAAATATCGTAAATATTTACACAAGCTCTCTGAAAAAGTATTTTATTTCTCATTATATTATATATATTTTTATTTAGTAAACGTTTTATAATTTATTATATCGGGTACTTATTTGCCATCCAAATATTGCTCCGCATTCATCGCCGGATTGAATTAAACTCCTGAAACGATTGAACAGATACAGGGCGTGGAGTGGAGTTTGATCGACAGTTTCGTCCAACCAATCGCAAGACCGAAATGCTGATGAGGCCCACGTCAATCATGCGATACTTTCATCTCGCCACCATCGCCCTCACCCTATGGAAACTCCACGTGCAGGATTTGCTAGGTTCAAAGCTTACTACATCTTCAGTCTACACCTTTCTCCCTCATCCCCGAGTGTCTTCTCTCTTTTCTAGTCTTCCTCTCTCCCTTTCTGACCGTCTCTATCACGTACCCTCTCCGACCTTTTCCAGTCACTATACCTTCCTCTTTTTACCTTTCGTCTTCTCTATGTCTCTTTCCTTCTATCTCGTTCGATTATTCTCTTTCTCTTTCTTCTTTAACCCCTGACGACTCATCCTACTGTCGAACCACCCCTCAGCCACCCTACATCCGCTCGCACGCTATGGGGTAGTTTAGCATCTCGGCCCTACGAAACGAACCACCCTCTCCCTCGCTGCCCCCTTTGCTCCAAACTGCGTCACGCCGTATCGGTTTTTTTCTTCTCTCATGATACGGCGACGCATAAAAAAGTGTAACACCCCCGCTTCTTGATAAAAAAAGATCCAACATCCAGGTGGTCAGTAATCGATAGAATAAAATATTGGCGTAAAATACTCTTCTCGCACTATTAATGTCCTCCTAATGATAGACAGAAAATCCAAAATACTCAGAAATTTATTGGAGAAAATTTTTCGAAACATTCGTGGTAAAATATATGTTCTTGCTAGAGAATTTGCTAAGACACGTCTTGTTAAACAACGCAAGCTCGCGGCAAGCCATCAAGTTTGATTGAAATATTACTCCTCGGGGCATGCAGCGAATTCTGTAATTACGATAGGCGGCTATTAATAATTGTTTACAGTTGGGTGGAAATTACTCTTACGCCACATGCCTCAACAAAGTACCGTGAGATACTTGGTCGCTACTTTCTAGACCAAATCTGCTCGAATGAGCTGCGATATGCTTCCTTACACCATCCCTCCGCCCCCTCCCACTCGTGTTTTCACGTCCTCTCGATCCTGTGTGGCATTCCTCTTGTTATCGCGGAACAAGTTTCTTATCCGATAACAATTAGGAGGTGTTTCACATCGACACGGAATAGTGCCGGTGGGAAACTTGCCCAAAAGTTTCTAAGGAGCCCAGTAACTCGCCGGAACAACACCAGAATGGTCCTTTTCGCCACGCGGGAATCTTCGCTTATGCATTGTTAAGGATGTCGTGTCGCATCCTTCCCTCTCCTCTCTCTCCCTATCTCTCTCTTCCTCTCTATAGTCTAGGTTGCTTAAATGATCATTAATTAGGATACCATTTACTTCCTATAACAGACAAAAAGTGAGCATCGCTACGGTAAAGACAAAGCGAGTATCGGAGCGCGAAAACTTCAACGTGCTGCAAGAAATAAAACCGAAAATTAATTATTTGCATAACGTGTTTCTTAATAAAAATTATGATATTTGTGAAATATCTAAATATACGATATTTTACCCGCAATATAAAAATAAATTTGCACAGATAACTGAATTGATCTCATATTAAAAATCTATGTTATGTTATTTCGAATTAGTTATAATTACATCGAAAATGTTAAAGAATGAATATTTTTGTTTTTACAGAGAACGGTCTACCAAGAAGATTACGAACAGCTTACACAAATACGCAACTTCTCGAGCTAGAAAAAGAATTTCATTTTAACAAATATCTTTGTCGACCGCGAAGGATAGAGATCGCAGCTTCATTGGATCTCACGGAAAGACAGGTAATAACTTTAATCAAGTAATACTATAAAAATCATTTGTTACATTATTTTGATTTTTAAGGCATTGTATTTTTTGTAAAATTTTTTATGTCATTTTTACGTATAAAAAAGTGTAACACCCAAGTGTGTATTAGAAAATATTTTTATGTCATTTTTATATTGCTTTATTTAAAATGTTATAAAAAATATCTTTCTTTCATCTCGTACAATTCTCGATGCATTATATGCATCGTCTATATTTAATAACTAAAATATAAATAACTATATAAATATCGCTATCTTTCTCTCAGGTAAAAGTTTGGTTTCAAAATCGACGAATGAAACACAAGCGGCAAACGCTTAGCAAAGAAGACGGAGACGAGAAAGATGGTTCCACTTCGGACGGCATGGAAAAGCCTAAGAGTGACAAAATGTTATCAGTTGATAACGATGAGAAGAAAAGTTGTCATAACTGTGATATTTCGGGCGTGGGCGATGTCGGAAGCACCCTTACTGGCGACGTTACCGATTTAGGTTCTTCCGGTCGAAGGAACAGTAACAACAATAACACACCTGGCGCGACTAATAATAACAATAACAACAACAACAGTAACCCAGGCTTTAACACAAATAGCAATGGTGCCAGCAGCGTTGGCAGTACCAACAGTGTATCCAGTTCGTTCGAGAAGATGATAGTGGACGATGATTCGAGGTCGCAAGATGGAAGTGAAGTGACGTCGCCGAGCGTGACGAAAAAATTGTCGGGCGAAGTGAGAGTGAAGGTTGAGAGCGGCCACAAAAGTCCGAATACAGCGAAGCAACAACAGATTTCAGTGAGCAAGAAATCGCCATCGACCAGCACGAAGGACATGTGTTCGGTGAACAGCAACGGTGTGCTATTAGCCATGCCGGACTCGACGGTCAGCACGCCGGTTCTACCGGGCCAGAATTCTACGAGGAGTCTAACGCCATCCTCGACACCCGGTACTCCCGTTTCCGTCCAGCTTCAGCAGGGCAGCCCTCTCGGTATCCAGCAAGCGACTCACACAGCCTACATGCAGAGACCGCGAAGCTCACCGTCCTCCACGACCTCCTTACCAGGCCCGATGTTGCATGCTTCTACAAATCCGGGAACAATGTCGCCTCACGGTAGCCGAAACATCTCGAACAGTCAGCAAGCACACTTCCAACAGCAGAGCGTGTATCAGCCCACGCCGACCATTGATTATCGAAACGGCGTACCCGCTAACAGGCAGAGTATACCTACGGCATCGCAACAGACCCAGTCGCAGAACAGCTACTGTAGAGACTCGTATCAACAACCAAGAAGCATCTCTTATCCAAATGAGATGAATCCTCTGTACGTTAGACAGAATCAGACGGTGGGCTCGAGAGTGGCACATCACGTGAGAGCAACGGGCACGACATCGAGATCGATGTACGGTGCCAATATGCAGTTCCATCAGCAACAGTTGCAATACGGTAGCACTGGAGAGTATAACGGATATCCTCAAGTCGGACCACCTTATCACGCTTATCACAGAGGTATGCAAGGCACCAACGCGTACAATTCCGGCCAGGGATACTCAGCGACGCAGAACGAGCAGAGCACCGATGGCTACATGACGTCTGGAAATTATGGCTACTCGACCGGCGGCAATTATCATGGGACTGGCGAGAATCTGGCGACACACGGGCACGCCGCTGTATCCGCGCAAACCGGGCAGCATTATTTCAACGACATCCAGCAGCAGCAGCAACACCCGCAACAACATACCGCCGAGGGCTATGTCACTCATCAGCCGCCAATGCATCCAAGTTCCGGCGACTACCGGCCAGGGAACAAGTGTCACCCGAGTGCGTATTACGAGCAGACCGCCAGTCAGCTGCACGTTCATCAGGGCGGCGAGGCCTCCAGCATCCCAAACAGTTACGTATCGTCGCCCGATCCGTTTCCGGCGCCTGGCATGACGACAACCGCGACGGCGATCGCAGCTGCCACCGCGGCGGTTATTACGCCACCCGGAAGCGCCGGCCAGGCTGACGGTAACAGCGAGTCCTATGGCAATTATGGGAATTTCTACGGTGAGCCGGTGCACACCGCCGCGGCGCCGCCGCCATCCGCCGACAACAGCAACAGCTCGTCCGATTTCAACTTCCTCAGCAACCTGGCGAACGACTTCGCGCCCGAATATTACCAGCTCAGCTGAGTCCACGAGACCGAGAATCCTTGCCAGCTGGACTGGGGTGATGAGCAATGCCTACTCAACGCTTTATATTGAAGTTAACGTTGTGCTCACCGCGTAAGAATCTATACGTGATTTGTATATAATTTCAATATTCGTGATTTAACTTTGCGTGTAAATGGAAATCGTGTAAAGACAAAATGGACTCGGATTTAAAAAAAATACGGTGCGTGTGTCTATATAAATCTACGCCATTTCGACCTAAGTAGTCGAATATCCTCTAGTTTGAAGTGACTCCTTCCGCGAGTTGTGTCGAAATTATTTTCAAGACTGGCTACATTAATCAAGGACGAGGACTGATTTATAGAACGGTTGTACATAATAAAATCTGAAATGTTTAAATTGACTGCAACAACTGCAAGAATATCTGAAGTAATCCGGATCACCAGAGAAATTGTCGACTGTTCTAGAATGCAACTATAGCCGATCAATCGATATTGTTACGCGTCCGAGTAATATCAATTTTAATATTTCCTTGCCACGGATGTAATTCTATCAATTTACATTCCAAACATTGAAGGATGTTTCGGAGATATATAACAGTGACAACGAGTGCAATGGTTGTGTTAATTTTAAATTGGGACGATATTAACAAAGAGTTCTATTCACAGAATTTTTTTGTAAATTGTACTGCAAAGTGACATTTATACCGCTACTCTTTGCGAAACGCGCTTAATTGCAGAAGATGAAAAGTGATCTGTAAGTAATATTAGACTGATAAACACGAGCTGTGGTTTACAAATGTGCATGAAGAACATTGTAAATATGTCAGAGATTTACGAAAATTCGATGGATTTTCAATTCGACGCGACGGTTCGATTCTCGTGAAGGGAGAAACACGAGGTGTAAGTGCAATCTTCTTGGCGCAAACGGTCTCTATGTTAGTGCATCGTTAAGGTGTTTGACAACTAGATTGTATATATTTACCGAAACCATGTTCCTTTCGTTTTCGATGTAACTTCAGTCACTGGCACAAAGTATGCTTGGTTGAAGCATTTAGCCTTTATATTTGATAATCTTGAACAGGGGAATTGTGTTTTCAAATTACATAAATTTAATTTCCACGTGATGGCCAACGAGATAACAAAATCGTATTTGATTTAAAACAATAAAACGAAGCCTGAGACTGTAGGTGCATGTGAGCAATAATTAACAATGAAACTATGTACATATATATCATACGAAGAATAGATTAATGGAACACAAATGAAAATAAGAAAATCGCATTTATACACAGTCATGATTACTATATCGAATATACAACTTCTGAAAAGTGAAATAGGTACAATCCGTTAGTTTTAATTAAACACAGGAAATAGATGTCTATCTCTCTCTCTCTCTCTCTCTTATAAAAAGAAATCAATGTCCTCCAATTGAATATGGAGAATAGTTAAAAATCAGTTATTTGGCCACTATTGCGGAAAAAAACAAATGCACTTGTAAAAATGTTGCGCTATTCGTTTTGTGAAAAAATGAGACAAGCTTTAAAATTAATTCGAATCAATATGTTATTCTGTATTCGTGGATAATGTCACTTAATAATGAACGAATATCGTTGAGCAATATTTCGATAATCCACACTTTCCGATCGCGGGCGATATATTTATTGCAATACTCACTAAATATATTGGTTGCATTATCATTTTTTCACAAACCGCGTTTTTCTTTCGAAGCTCTACTAGCGCTACTTTAAGTGAACCAAATAAATTATTGTCTCACAGTAGGTAATATAAAGGTAAAACGTAGATAGGGACATAATTATAATTTTCACCTCGAGACAACATATTTAATACGCAGCTCTTTTTGTATAAAACACTAGATGCCGTCGTTGTTCATATAAAGACTTTCATGTACATATGCGCGTACGATAACCGTATATATTGTTTATTCCTTCTGATTACATAATTGTGTTGCAAGTGAGCCCTCGACACGGTAAACGAAGTTATCACACGTGTACATTCACTCACCGATACATTTGACAAATACAAATCATAGTGAAAAGTAACGACAGTGTTTTTATTCTCTCTAATAATCTTTTTTTTTTCTTTACTGTTTTAGTTGCTTGATTAAAAATGCTAACTAGAACCATATGGAGTATAAAAACATTGTATAAGTCAACGAATCATACGAAAAATCATAACTTTAACCAATGACCATGAACGGGGGCGGAACGCGTAAATTTTGATCGTAGATGGCGCAGTTTGCCCGTGCCGGCGATGAAAGTGACGATGATAGATGACCCAAAATATCGGAGCAATCGAACTGAAATATTATTCTTAGCAGCATCCTTACACCATGTCAACTTCATATTCTATTCAGAGATTAACGCGCCATTTGTTATACCAAAGAAATACCCTACACACATAAATTGATTTATCATAGTCATATAAAACTAAAAAAAGAATAATCATTAATTTAATGAGACATCCCGCGATGTAGCTTATGTGTTATTAGAAAAGGTTTTATTATTGTCAGAGACGCGAAACAATAGCATCGTAATAATTGCGATAGCAGCCATAGCGGGACTCGCGAATTGCGACGTTTTGTACAAAATCACAACTTTGACGAAAGAAACTCAAATCGAGAGCTCCGCGCGTTGGTAGGACGGACGGCTGTGTCAGTGAAGAGACTGACAATGATGGATGACTACGCGTGATGCGTGTGAGTCAAGCCCATACGACGCCATAGCTTCGAGCTCATATGTGACCTCCGGTTCGTGCGGACCGAACTGTTGCTATCGTTGCATCTGTGCAGAACACCCTCCCGAAACACGATCCCCGATCAACGATCCTCCCCACATTGGCTAATTTCTCCAAGCTATTAACTTTTTCTCTGACCAACGAGGCTTTACGGATAGGAGAAAAAAAAAATAAAAGTTGGGAGATTAGAAAATTGCGTTTTGCAACCTGCAATATTATTGCCAGCTTAGCTTTTCGTGCACCGCTTCCGATTTTCGAACGCATGACAGTATTTCGCAATGCACGATAGTGTGACATAACAGTTCGATAAGCGTCGGACAACACGTCGTCGTTAGATGAACATCTGAATAAAATTTACATTCAAACATTTTACAATATATCTTTATCATCGATTATGCGGTGGTATCGTGGTCATATCGAGGGGTGGATTTCGAAGCTGCAGGGTCAAGGGTTACCAGCCCCGAGTCGTGCGATGCTTGCCCTTTCCGCCCAACCGTCGCGACCATAAATCTTACGATCGTCAAGGGACGACTCATTCACGCTACTTTGCTTTCCATCCGATATCCGCTGAGCAGAAAACGCATGGATTTCTACGACTTTAACCTTGATCATTCACAGTATGCGACATTGTTTGAGTTGATGTAACACGCACTTTTCATTCTGCTCAGAATAATTCGTTAATTTTCGCAATGTTGCTTCGTGGATGTTTAATTTAGTCGCAATATAATTTCTTCGCTCAAAAGTGATTAATTAATGTGTCGTGCACGCGCAAAGATTTTCAGAATTACCGCAATTGTTTCATTTAATCGATTTCGCGCTGTATTCTTGAGACAAAGAAGCACGTAAATCGAAAAAGATCCCGAGGTGGAAGGCAGCAAGATACGAGTAGCCGGCACAACGATTTTTATTTTCTTTTTCTTCCGGGATGCGCGAGAGAGAAATGTCGTTAACGCTTAAATGTTAATAAATGTAGATAGGGAATAGGGGGTCCTCTATGTGGTGTGTGTGTGTGTGTGTGTGTGTGTGTGTGTGTGTATGTGCGTGGAGTATATCAGACAGGTAGACGCTCACCTGAGCGCCCGGTGACTAAGTGAAGAAGGTAAGAAAGTGCTGCTACGCTGGCGGCTGCTTTTGAGGCTCGGTTTGTCATGGTTCGCATGATAGATGGAGGAAGCGGGAGCTTCGGCTCTCCAGTGTATATATATATGTATGATGTTGAGTTTTAACCACGGAGACACCTTGCGATCATCCCGTCCGTTAACTCGTTCGCCTACCGCAAATAGAATCTTACACGCCTCGCGTGTTCCCGTTGCCGCCAATGACGAAACTGTGAAATTTATTTCCGACTGATTCCTCTACGCTTCTAATGTCTTCCTCGCGAATGTATCAAAAGTTAATGATCGGTTTCTAATCTAACTCTCCACGCTTGAGCCGTAATTTTGGTCTATACTTTATCAGAAGAGACGAAAACAAATTTTCACGAGTTGGAAGCCTTCACGTTCATAGCGTTACTCATTCGTTAGCAATAACTCTGCGACATGACGAGAAGGCAATGTGCGAAGGTCTTTTTCTACATTACAACTGCAGATATGCGCCGTATCTTGAAGAATAATGAGACCTGCAGCGAGGAAATTAATAAACGTAAGTAGTAAACGTTAGTAAAAGTTGCTGAGTAAGTCAAATATAACTTCTTGTACATTAGCGCGACCTTATAACTGTTCTCATTATTTTTTCCGTTATTGCTGTACCGAGTAACTTTAATACTGTGTTCCATAATACATAAAACTGAGTTTTAATATCGACTGAATATTTTCAATTTGAAGATTTTTATGTAGATTGATTTACGCACGCTTTTTTGCAAATGTTTTTCGAATTAATTGTTAAACACAATAAAACAAATGCTGAATAGCAAACGGAGTTATGACTTTCGTTTCATTAAGCGATGCTTGAAGATATGTAATTTGGTGTTTCAAGTGACATGAGAATTATTGCATAAACTTATTACAAGAAAGATATTTTGAAAATTATTTGATTGAGCTAGAAAATTGCAGGAAA